CCACCCTGGGCTTCGCTGAACCTGCTGACGACTCAGATGGGGCACCTGCGCTTGGCGATTCCTCCACCGACTCGTGCTTGGAGGAGCCGACAGCTCCCCTCACAACCGACCGATTTCCATCACGAGTGACTGCAGGGCCGTCCGCGCGAGCAGCTGGAGTGTGGTCCGAGGCAGGCGTCAGCGGGTTGTGCCTCTCCTTCCCTCGGCAGCACGACGGGGCTGCCAGTCCGAGTTGTCCCGCCAGCTCTGCTCGGAGCCCCCACCAGCGTGACGTGCACAGAAACAAGGACATGAGCGTTGCATCCAAGCTGAGGCACAGTGTGGCAGCTCGGGCACGGGTCGAGATGAGGGGCCACCTGCCCATGGTGCCGCCAGCTGCTGGCCAGCGCCGAAAGTGCTACAAATCTTCTGCGGGGAGGCGATCGCACCTCACGACTTAGTGGAGCTTGGACACGTTTCTGTCAATCATAGGGGTCGTTGTCGCTTCTCTTCGACGAAGCATGCAGCGGACGTTTCTTCATCACCGGCCGTTTGAGCAGCGGCCCGCGAGCCCGAAAAGTGTGTGGAGGGGTAGCCGTTTCGTCTCAAGACAGATAGTACAAAAAAATGTGACATCTGCGTGCCATGAGCAGTCCATGGGCACCAGCGACACTTGCCCGAGTGCCGTGCGCGCAATGACGGGCGGCAACACCCCCATGTGCAAGAGAATGTAGAACATACTGGCACTGCGAATGCCCTCAACGGCACCCGCAGCTTCCTCTGGCCCGAGGCCACGGACCCAATCCATCCGCACGCCCCTATCTTATTCACAGACAGCGCGACTGCCGGGAGAAGAGCCCGAGAGGTACAGCACGTGACCTGGGTGCCCGACCAGGAGAAAGAAACTCATCTATCGCCTGAAAACACTATCCTCGTCAAAGTGGCATTCCTGAGGATTTGAATCGGAAAATCTGGGAGTTCTGGTGGCCAACTCTGGGTCGGGACGACATCCTAAAACCGTTGAATGAAAGCGCAGTAATTTGGGTGCGCCTCTTCGAATATATGAAGCCCGTAATTTCGGGGGTACTTACAAGGGGGATCCGGAAGCTGAACTCACTCCGCGCGCATACCCATAATATGCATACTTACACCATCGCTTGTGCTCGCACGCACTCCTGCTCAAACTCCTACAACTTCTCGTCCACTTCATCACCCTCATCGTCCTTCTGCGCAGATTCTTCCTCCCATTCCTCCTCCTCCTCTTCCGCCTCGTATTCCTCCTCATCCTCGTCCTCCGCCTCCTCTTTATCATACTCTTCTTCGTCCTATCCCGTGTTCGCATGCTCGTACTCCTACGCACAGGTACATATCTGCACACAATCATGCACATGTTCACACGCAGACCTCTACTTACAGATCCTCATGCCCCTGTTCCTCTTCATCCTGTTCGTCTTGCCCTTCCCGTTGATCCTTCTCTCCATTCCCCACGTTGCCACTCCTGCTCCTGCTCCGCCTCCCCACAAGCTGCTTACGCCCCCATTCCCCCCCCCCCTCCTCCTCCTCCTCCTCCTCCTCCTCCTCCTCCTCCTCCTCCTCCTTTTCCTCCTTCTCCTCCTCCTCCTCCTCCCTCATCATCCATGATCGCCTTTCCTCTCCTGACGCCTGATCCTCCGATTCTCCCTCCAGGTCCTCAATGTCCTACTGATACTCTTCACCAGCATCGTCAGAATTACCATCATAGTCACCATCCTAATCCTCCCTCCTCGTCTTACTCGTCGTCTTCACCCTGGCACGCAGCCCTTACCCACATCTTCAAATCATTACTTTTCGCACACCTCATGAACGTGATCAGCAGCAGCAGTAGCAGTAGCAACCTTATCATCATCATCGCACCAGCTGGCATGATGACCATCCCTTTCACCCATCCTCTTCGCATCCATGGGTATATCCTACTCTCCCTCCCCCTCACGATCCCCATTCCTCCTGGCCTTCATCGTCTGTCATCTCCCATCCTTGTCCTTACTCCTCCAGACCATCCTCGCCCTCCCTAGCATCATCTCCATGTTACAATTTGTCCCCTTCCTCCACAACATGCCCATCCACCTCCCCCTGGCTCCGATCACTTTCCCCCCCATCCTTCCGCCATCCCCCATTTCGCAGCTCAAAAAAGCCTGCAAGGCAATGGCCCGGGTGCTCGAATTGCCCCCACAAAAAAACACCTGCCTTGTCCACCCTGCCCCACAATGCCCCGACAATGCCCCACGACGCACACGATGCTCTTAGAGCGATTTGCCCGCGTTACCAGCATCGTCCACATCGCCCATGATGCCCGCAGTGCCATCGTTGCTCACAACACCCACATCCCACATCGTATAAAGCGCTCACTAAACGAACAATGCCAAAACAAAACGCATTGCACGCAAAGCGCATAGCGCATAGCGTAAGAAACCCAAAGTGTCAAGAGTCCGTGCATCGCGTTGCGGGCATTGTGGGTTCTCATGCACTGCGAGGAAGGGGCGAGGGGAAAACAAGGAGGGATGGAGGAAAAACGGGCGACGGAAGGGGATTGAGAGGGGAAAGGGAGAGAGAGGGGAAAGGGAGAAAGCAGAAGGACAAGCGGGGAAAAAAGCTGCTGAACACGCCGCGCAACATTCGACGCCAGGCGGCCTGAGAAGCAGAAAGAGCTCCAAGAGAAGATCCGCCAGTGTCCCCTGGCAGGTTGAGGCGTGGTAGAATGCCAAGGGCCAAGGGCTGTACGGTGGGGCTTCTGTCGTCCCTTAAGAGCCCGCGCGGGTGCCCTGGCTCTCGTACCGTCAGGTAGGGAGGGGGCTAAAGCCAGGGCCAGGGGTAGGCCAGGGAAGGGGGACGACCGACGACCACCACCACCACCACGAAAAACATAAAGGCTTCCTGGTAATCAAGGGGGCTGAGGCCAAAGCAAAATCAAGGGCAGGAGCGAGAGGGGGATCTGCGAACGACGCCGACACCACCACCACCACCACGAAAAATAGGGCACCAGGCCAGGGGGAGCGAGGGGGCTCCTGCCAGGGCCAGGGGTGGGCCAGGGACGGGGGGATGAACGCGAAAACTAAGGGCTCCGGGGCCAGAGGGTGCGAGGGAGGGTGGGGCCAGGGCCAGGGGTGGGCCAGTGGGGGGGACGAACGACGACCACCACCACGAAAACAAAGGCCTCCGGGGCCAGGGTGAGCGAGGCTGCAGCCAGGGCCAGGGGTGGGCCATGGGAGGGTGAGCGAACGACGAGCACCACCACCACCACCAAAGTGAAGGGCTCCGGGGCCAAGGAGTGCGAGGGGGCTGGGGCCACGGCTATGGGGTAAACCAGGGGAGAGGACGAACGACGACCACCACCATCACGAAAATAAAAGACTCCAGGGCCAGGGGGAATGAGAAGGCGAGAGGGGACGAACGACAACACCACAACGAAAACTAAGGGCTCCGAGCCAGGGGGAATTAGCAATCAACAAGAACATTCGTCTCAAATATCTAGATGCCCGAAGTCGGTCTGCTACCAAATCTGGGTACAAAAAACTGTTCATATCCTGCTAACTTTCTAGAAATGGAACTTCTTGGTGTAACTCAAGCTGCAGATGAGCTACAAAGCTGGAACACCAATCGATGGTCAGACGCACGAACCTGGAGTATCTAGATGTCCGAACTCGGTCTGCTACCAGAAATGGGTCCGAAAAACGGTTCGTACTCTGATATGTTTAAAAGAGTTCATGATGACTTTCTTGTGATAACTCGAGCAACACATGAGCTAAATAGCTGGTTGGCACAACAACCAAGAGAAAGTCATGAGAAACGCTAGTCCCAAATATCTAGATGCCCGAACTCAGTCTGCTTTCAGAGTTGGAACCAAAACACTACTTCGTACTCTACAATTTTTCCAAAAATGGCGATGCCTGTCTTGATGTACCTCGAGCTGCAGATGAGAGTAGGGCTGTTCGGCAAAGCAATTGGACGAAGATGATCAGAAACGCTGGTTGCAGGTATCTACATGTCTGAAATCGGTATGCTACGGAAGCTGGAACAAAAAAATCGTACTCCTGCTTTTCCTCTTTCTCATCATGCGTTTCCTCCTTCTCCTCATCTGTCTCCTCGTCATCATGATTATCATCGCCCCTCTTCTCCCCCTCCAGCCTTTCCCCTCCTGCGAGTGATCCTCCCCTTCCTTATTCCCCTCCTCCTCCTCGCGCGCAGAATGCGAAATTGTCGCGCCCGCATTCCATTCATGTGCAACGAGGAAGCTCTACGAGTTTCTGGCGGTAACCAAGGTTGATGGTTCACTGCCGGCACCCAGTTCGAACGGCACCAAACGCTGAGCGTAAGAGGAAATCACGCGCTGTCAAAGGCGGCTCCACCAGATGGCGTCTCGGTCTTCTTAGAACCCTGGCCGGCGGCGGCGCCGCATCCAACTTGAAGAAACTCTGAAAGCACGGAAGACCGAGTTGGCTCAGGCTATTCCTGGCACGAGCTATCCAATTGGAGTTCCTCGCTGGGGCGGTCAGGTATTGAGCTTTTCGCCAGGGCGGTCAATCACCACATTTTTCTCGCTTACATCACATCCTTCGAGCTTGTTTGCGATGTCTGGCACGGCGTCTGGCGTTCAGGAGCCAGCTTTCACGAAATCTCAAAACAAGGAGACTTTGGCCAGACTTTCGGTGCGCCGATCTGCTGTCTTGCAAGCGTTGTTCCCCGAGTCAAAGAAGAAAGCCGAGATTGAGACTCTCATGGACGGATCGGCAGGCCCTTTGGCCGGCCAATTCGCTCCTGCCCCCACCTTTCCTGGCGCCGCGAGCAGCGGGGTTCCGCCGAGCACGCTCTTTAGTGCTGCCCCACCGGACCCCCCGCTGAGCACCGCTTCGGCGAGTGCCCCCGCTCCCGCCCCAGGCGGTGCGAGCGGAGCATGCACAAGCGAGGGCGGGGCCCCCCTGGGGCACGCGGCGGCGAGCGTGGCGAGTGCGGGTTTCGCCCCCTCGCGAGCGCCGGCTTTGCCGACGATGCCAGACGAGAGTTCCCCTGGAGAGAAGGCCATCTACAGCATGCTACAGATCATGAACAGCCAGACGGCCACACTGAACGGGTTGACAGCCCTGCACGGCACCATCAAACGTGAAACGCAGGAGGCCATTTCGGTTGCCGTCGATCCTCTGAGAGACGAGATGCGCGACCTCACCGACAGAGTTCAGCGACTTGATATGGGTGGCTGTGGCCAGAGGCACCTCAGTTTGATGAATAGGGTCGATGTTGCTCATCGCCGGATGGTGTTCATTGGCTCCGAGGTAATGGATACCAGCTCCAGGGAGGCAGACATTCACGCCTTCGCCAGCACCCTGGGCGCAGATTTCCAGGGTCAGCCCGGTCATTTCTTCAGCGTCCCCCGGAATAGTCGCAAGATCACTCGCGTGTCCTACTTGGAGTTCGGAACTCTGGAGAAGGCTTCAGCATTCCTTGATTAAGCAAGGACCAAGAGCATGACGACGTCTTCTGGTAAGGCGATCGTCATCAAGGCTGCCACCACACAGGTCAACTTGACGAGGAATTGGGCTCTTCGCACGGCCACGGAGCTTATCAAAAAGGCGCCGGGCTGCGAGAATGCCCAGGTCGACTTCCGGGCGAGGCAGGTCCGGATCGGCGACGTGACTGTGTTTGAGCAAAGCCCGGGCGACCTGGAGGGCACCTTCAAGGGCAGCTTTTCGCACCTTCGTTTCCCCTAGGGAGCCGGGGGGGTCGCTTTACACACAAACGCTTCACACGTTCCGTGTTCCGCCCACGGCTTAACCGTTAGTGAGCAGCCTCCGGGCATGTTCGGGCGCCTTCGTCGCAGAGGGCCTCGTTCTCGCGAGCTTTTTTTTGCGACGCTTCAAAAACAGAGCTTTTCATGTTCCTTCTTGTCCCCCTCTTCTTCCTTCCTCCGTTCTTGCTTCTTCTCGCCCCCAGTCCAGTCGGCGGCAAACGCGGTTGACATAATTTTTTACTCGCAGTAATGTATCTTCCATTTCGCCGCAAGACGAAGAGTTATGTGAATCCAATTATGGTTCCTCTTCTGTTGCATCTCATCTCACCATATTGCATGTGAACATCCAAGGTTTTCAATCTTCTTCAGCAGAACTAGAAACACGTATGATCTTGTTTCCCCCCCTCCTTCCATCGTCTCCCCCAATGAAACGCGGCTTGACCGGGGGCATTTGAATGCCAAGTTGACGAAATATGAATTAATTGCCAGACGAGACCAGGATGGTTCCAGAGGAGGCGTCGCCATTTGTGTCCACATGTTGGCGTTTTCTTTGCGTTGTCTTGCGCTCAGATCCCCAGCAGCAGAGAGTGTGGATCACTGTGCACGCTGATATAAGTCCGATGTTATTTTGCGGCTGGCACAGGCCGTCACACTACGGAGAGTTGAATAGGATAAGATCTTTCGGTGACGAATGGCTCTGTCAATGCAATTCGCATATATGTTCAGTCATGGCGGGAGATGTCAACGCACATCACAAGGAGTGGCTGCATTTTTCTCATTCCGCCCAGCCCGAAGGCCGGGCTTTGAAGCAGCGGCGCGAAGGACAAGGTTTTCGGCAGCTTGTTCGGGGCCCTACGCGAGGGAATAATATGTTGGATCTTGTCTTGACGGATTTCCCAGAGCTCCGAGTCGAAATTCTCAGCGAAATTGCCGATCATTGTCCTCTTCTTCTTTCCCTTCCTCTGCCCCCTCCTTCGTTCGCAGCCGCGTCCTGGCGGCACTGGCACTACGGCAGTGCGAACTGGCAAGGCTCCCGCGTAGGATTTTATTTGAAAGTTGGAAACCCTTGTCTTCCTTGAATGTCGATGCAGCAGCAGAGTAATTATCAGCAAGGATTTGAAATTGTATGCGGATTTTCATTCCATAGTCTGACTGGGTAGTTCGGTGTAGTTCTCATCCGTGGCTGGACTCCGCATGTCCGCGCCTAGTGCATGAAAAAAAGTATCGCTGCAGGTACCGCTTAATTTCCTGTCGCCGCTACACAGTGTAGCAACGGATTGCGAGACGCATTTAGTCGATACATTGTTCGGACACGGAGTCGTTTTCGTTCGCTCCGTCGTGGGTCGAAGGTTTGGTGGCGTTTGTCGCAGTCTCTGCTAGGGAAGTCATCCAAATCTGCGTGTCCATATTTGCGTCGTTTGGACGGGTCTTGGGCTTTGCATCCCAAGAGCAAGGCTGATTTGCATGCTCGCACCTTTGCGGAGGAATGGACTATTCCAGAAATCGCCCCTAATTCGTAGTCTGATTTGTTTCCGACCCCTGTCCCTGAGGATTCGGGTTTTCTGCCGGTTAGAGTGCGAGCGGTCAAAGAAGAATTGCAGGTGCTAGATCCGCAGAACTCCTCTGGCCCTGACCTCATTTCAGCTTGCGTCTGGAAACAATGCGCCGTGGAGCTCGCGCCCCCGATCGCCATTCTTTGCAGGCAGATTTTAAGAGCAGGTCGTTGGCCTGAGTGCTGGTGCAAACACTGGATCCACCCACTTTTCAAGCGTCCTTCTGTCAGTGATCCCGACAACTACCGGGGAGTACAATTGACATCGCAAATTTCTCAAGTAGTGGAGGATCACCACTTTTTGGTCCTACCCATTTTGCGTATTCTGCAGGCCGGGGCACACGAGTTGCAGCGTTTTTCTCCGTCTTCTCCTGGCTGTTAGGCATGAGCCGAGGCCGCCGCATTGCCTTGCACTGTTCAGATGTCTCCGGAACGTTTGACAGACTATCCGCACGTTGAACCTCCAGGCTGCGAACGCGCATCCGTAGATGTTGACCGCCCTGCAAAGTTGGCTCCGCGAGCGCACGGCTTCAGTGGCTCTGCAAGGGTCTTTGTCTGATCCAGTGGTTATGCGAGACATGGTCTATCAAGGGACTGCATTCGGACCACCTGTATGGAATACCTACTTTTGTGACTCACATCGGGCAATTTCGGCGCATGGGTTTCTTGATATTGCTTTCGCGGGCGATCTAAATGCGTTGAAAGCGTTTGAATCAATCGTTCTGGAAGAAGATATAACGCATGCTCTCTGGCGGTGTCGCGAAAGCTTGCACGAGTGGGGAGCGGCGAATGGGGTTTCGTTAGATTCCTCGAAGGAAAGCATCCACATCATTTCAAAGAGCAGGCCTTCAGGCGATTCTTTCAAAACCTTGGCATTCGATTCGACGCTAATTTAATCATGAGCGAAGCTGCGCACGAATGCGCGTGCGAATGCGGGTGGAAACTGCTCACACTGCTGCGCGCTAGAAGATTTCATACTGACGGAGAGTTGATGCACTTGTTTCAGAGTCATATTCTAAGCTACATCGAATACCACACTCCCGGGATTGCTCACGCGTCTGACTCGGTATTAGCTCCGATTGATAATGTTTTGTCTCGCTTTCTTTGGTCTATTCGCATATATTGTCTAGACGCCCTCATGCATTTCTCTCTGGCTCCGCTGTCTGCGCGGCGGGACATAGCTATGTTGGGCGTTATTTATAGGACGGCATCTGTCACGGACCCCAGCAATTCCAGCCTTTCTTCCAAAAAAATTTACGGAGACCGCCGGCACGCGCACCACCGAGACGCACCAGGCATCTCATTGACATCTGTCCGATACGGGCACCTGATTTTTTTGCTCAGGTCGCGTTTGGGAGGCATTCGAGTCTACAATTTGATGCCCGACTCCGCGGTGGCAGCTTCTAGTGGACTGGAAGACCACGCGATCCTGGAAAATCCCCATGGCTTCGCATCCTTTGCGGGACTGCAGAGACTGGCACACCTGATCGAGTCAAGCTTTATTTGTTTCTTATTGTTTTCCTCCCCTCTTCTACTCTCTCCCCGTTCTCGCCCTTCCCTCCTCCTCCTTTTCTATCTGTTTTATTACGTTTTAAATTCTGTATTACTTTATTTGTTGTTTATCAGCCTCGCTGGCGCGAACAACCTCACCACTGCTGAAACAGCCGGCTGCCGTGAACACGCCTGCCCTGCAGCGAAGACCACCGGGGGCGCGGGGAAACGGGCACGGTTCTCTGTTAAGGGGGGGGGATCAAGGAGAAGAGGGAAGGGGGGGGAGAGAGAGAAGGAAGAAGCTGGATTAGCCGTGCCAGTCTGTATATATATATAGGCGGCTAGCGAGCGGAATCCGCCAAGACAAAGATGCACCCCAGTCTGCGTAGCCGTGCTGCGCCCGGAACAACACGAAAGCCTGCAATCGAGATTGAATTCGCGGACAGAGTTGGCGGCGACTATGAACTCAGGCAGGATGTTGAACAAACGTACGCCACCAAGAGCAGAGCGAAGGAGGAAGTCTTGAGCTCGAAGATCGCACGGGCCTCGCAGGCGGCGGCGGTGGCGAAGCCAGGAACGAGAAGGAGGGGGAGAGGGATCGACGCGAAAGACGCTGTGGAAAGAATTGGGACCAAGACGTAAGACAGAACGATGAACTACACCAAGAGACGCAATGTGCCTCCGCGTGCTGAGAGGGGCGAGATTGTAGATTACCAGATCCTCCAATTCTGCGAGACGAACGGAGCGCAAAAATCGTTGTTGCACGTTGCCGAGCATCTCAAGAGCGGCGCTAGTAGCGCGGGCAATAGCGGGCGGGCGATATTCAGCGAATGAGACAACGTGGCTTTTATACAGCAAGACCATCTCGTGCAGAGAGTGATATCGGCGAGCGTGCAAAAGGCACATTATTCGAGAATGACACGCTGCAGCGCACTGTTCGATCGCCTTCGTCACGCTAAACTGACAATCGAAAACGACCCCCAGAATCTTAAACTCGGAAGAATCCCCGGGCCGCCTGGCGAGAATATGCGCGCTCTCCTTGCTGGCGTCAGAGACAACGCAACTGGCGCGACCCCAACGGTGCAGCGTGGGTTGGCGATCGCGGAGAAAAGCGTGAATGCTGGCATCGCTCACGTTGGAATCGAGTGTTTTGACAGCGTTCAAGTCGTCGGCAAAAACTAAATCATCGAAGCCTGTCTCGGAGACTGCGCCGGAAGCGTCAGCGAAGAAAACGCTCACTGTTCCTTGGAACACCATGTCCAGCATATGACAAATGCCAGACAAGGCCCCGTCAACTACAACCCGGGCTGTCCGGGGAGCCAACCAACTGCGAGTTGCTTGAATGATTTGCTCGGGTATCGGAGCGGCGGCAAGCTTACGAAACAGAATTTCTGTCTTCACCCGGTCGAAGGCTCCAGACACGTCAGGACGATATCAGCCAATTCTCTGGCCGCGAGAATACGCCGTTAAACAATACAAAACTAACCGAAGCACAGCGTCTCGAGCGCCCTTGCCAGGAAAGCAAGCGCACTGCGAAGCTGCATAAAATCCGCTCTATATATTAAACGGGGCACAAAAGAATTGCATGGAAGCCGCCCCATTGCCCTGGACATCTGAGACGCGAGGTGGATACCACGATACTTCGCAGCATCGCGTGCAGATTTTCTTCTAAACAAGAAATGGATCCAATGCTCTGCCCAGCACCTCGGCCGCGCACCTGTGGACACAATACGGCGCGCAAGCTTCACGACTGGAATCGTGAGCTCCTGGCTGCAGATCTTGAGAAGACGGGCCGGCACTCCATCCGGACCCGTGCCACTACCGATCCTATGAACAAGCAGTACCCGCTTCGCACTACGAGAGCTGATCGGAACGAACCTCGAGGCCACAAAATTAGCAGAGTGCTGGCCAGAGAATTCGTTGATTTCCGGCTCTGG